CTGACACACACCTTTCTTGACTTTAAACTACGCAGTATCCCCTTGTTCTGTCTGAACAACTGCCTCTTGGTCTATGTACAGGTTCCTCATGAGCACAATGAAGTGTTCTGGAATTCCCATTCTTTGCAGTGTTACCCATAATTTGTTACGATCCATACAGTCGAATGCCTTTGCATAGCTAATAAAACATCTTTCTGGTATTCTCTGCTTTCAGCCAAGATCCATCAGACATCAGAAGTGATATCCCTTGTTCCATGCCCCCTTCTGAATCTGGCTTGAATTTGATGATGATGTACTGCTGCAACCGGTTTTGAATGATCTTCAGCAAAATTTTACTTGTGTGTGATATTAATGATATTGTTCGATAATTTCCGCATTCTGTTCGATCACCTTTCTTTGGAATGTGTACAAATATGGATCTCTTCCAGCTGGTTGGCCAGGTAGCTGTCTTCCAAATTTCATGGCATAGGTGAGTGAGTACCTCCAGTGCTACATGCATTTGTTGAAACATCTCAATTTGTATTCTATCAGTTCCTGGAGCCTTGTTTTTCGCCAATGCCTTCAGTGCAGCTTGGGCTCCTTCCTTCAAACCATTGGTTCCTGATTATGTTACCTCCTGAAATGGTTGAACGTCGTCCAGTTCTTTTTGGTACAGTGACTGTGTATTCCTTTCATCTTCTTTTGATGTTTCCTGCGTCATTCAATATTTTGCCCCTAGAATCCTTCAGTATTGCAACTCAAGGCTTGAATTTTTTCTTCAGTTCTTTCAGCTTGAGAAATGGTCAGCATGTTCTTCCCTTTTGGTTTTCTAACTCCGGGTCTTTGTACATTTCATTTTAATATTTTGTCTTCTGGAGCCACCTTTTGAAATCTTCTGTTCAGCTCTTTTACTGCATCATTTCTTCCATTCGCTTTAGCTACTCTACATTCAAGAGCAAGTTTCAGTCTCTTTTGACATCCATTTTGGTCTTTTCTTTCTTTCCTGTCTTTTTAATGACCTCTTGCTTTCTTCACGTATGATGTCCTTGATGTCATCCCACAACTCTTCTAGTCTTCGGTCATTAGTGTTCAATGCATCAAATCTATTCTTGAGATGGTCTCTAAATTCAGGTGGGATATACTCAAGGTCATACTTTGTTTCTTGTGGACTTGTTCTAATTTTCTTCAACTTGAACTTGAGCAATTGATGGTCTGTTCCACCCGGCCTTGTTCTGACTGTTGATATTGAGCTTTTTCATCATTTCTTTCCACATATGTAGTCAGTTTGATTCCTGTGTATTCCATCTCGTGAGGTCCATATGTAATGTCGCCATTTACGTTGTTGAAAAAAGGTATTTGCAATGAAGAAGTCGTTGGTCTTGCAAAATTCTATCGTGCGATATCCAGCGTAATTTCTGTCACCAAGGCCGTATTTCCCAACTACCAATCCTTCTTCTTTGTTTCCAACTTTTGCATTCCAATTGTCAATAATTATCAATGTGTCTTGATTGCATGTTTGATCAATTTCAGACTGCAGAAGTTAGTAGAAATCTTCAATTTCTTCATCTTTGACCTTAGCGGTTGGTGCATAAATTTGAATAATAGTTGTATTAACTCGTCTTCCTTGTAGGCATATGGATATTGTCCTGTCACTGACAGCGTTGTACTTCAGGCTAGACCTGGAAATGTTTCTTTTGTTGATGAACGCGATGCCATTCCTCTTCAAGTTGGCATTCCCAGCATAGTAGGCCATATAATTATCTGATTCAAAATGGCCAATACTAGTCCATTTCAGCTCACTAATGCCCAGGATATCAATGTTTATGCGTTCCATTTCATTTTTGACAACTTCCAGTTTTCCAAGGTTCATACTTTGTACATTCCACATTCTGATTATTAACAGGCATTTGCAGCTGTTCCTTCTCGTTTTGAGTTGTGCCACATCAGCAAATGAATGTCCTGAAAGCTTGACTCCATCCACGTCATTAAGGTGGATTCTACTTTGAGGAGGCAGCTCTTCGCTAGTTGTATTTTGAGTGCCTTCCAAGCTGAGGGGCTCATCTTCTGGCACTATATCAGACAGTGTTTCACTGCTATTCATAAGGTTTTCACGGGCCAGTCCTTCAGAAATAGACTGCCAGGTTCTTCTTCCTAGCCTGTCTTAGTCTGGAAGTGCCAATGAAACCTGTCCACCCTGGGTGACCCTGCTGGTATTTGAAATACCAGTGGCAAAGCTTCCAGTATCACAGCAACACACAAGCCACCACAGTATGACAAACTGACAGACATGTGGTGGAATTTCTTTAATAGATATAAGATTATGCAGACATTTTATTTCATCTTGTGTTAGTTTTGGTGAATTGTAATTTTCAACAAATTAGTCCTTGAAAATTTGTCCATCCAAGCTGTCAAACTTATTGTTCACTATATTCAATAATATTCCCTTATTATCCTTTTAATGTAAGTAGGATCGGTACTGATATCCCACCGCCCCCAGTATTGACTGATAATTTGTGTTTGTGCGCGTTCTCTCTCTCTGTAGCCTAGGTAGCCTAGGTAGGGATTTATCAATTATGTTTATCTTTTCAAAGAACCAATGTTTGGTTTTGTTAACTTTTTCTGTTGTTTGTTTTCTATTTCATTCATTTCTGCTCTTTATTCCCTTGCATCTATTTACTCTGGGTTTATCTATTTTTACCTTAAGGTATATCCTCAAGACATTGATATTAAATCTTCCTTATTTTCTAATATTAGCATTTAAAGCCATAAATTTCTCTCTAAGAATTTCTTTAGCTGCATCTCACAAATTTTGACATGTTTTATTGTCATTATTATTCAATCTGAAAAATTTTCTAGTTTCCCTTGTGATTTCTTCTTTGACTCATGGGTTATTTGGAAGTATGTTTTTCCAAACATTTAAGTTTTTTCTAGACATCATATGTTAATGATTTCTAGTTTGATTCCATTGACATATGAGAATATAATCTGTAAAATAGAAATACTTGGAAATTTACTGAGACTTAGTTTATGGGCCAGGATATGACTTACCTTGGTGAACATACTGTGGGCACTTGAAAAGAATGTGTATTTTGCAGTCGCTGGGTGAGTGTTTGAAAAATGTTAATTAGGTCAGGTTGGTTGGTAGCATTGTTTAGATCTATGTCTTTACTGATTTTTTTGTCTAGTAGTTCTACCAGTTATGAGAAAGGGGTATTAAAATCTCAATTATGATTGTGGACTTGTTCATGTCTGTCTTAATTCTGATGATTTTTGTCTCATGTATTTTGAAGTTCTATTATTAGGGTTATACACATTTATGATTGTTATGTCTCCCTGATGAATTAACTTATATCATTTTGAAATATCCCTCTTTGTTTCTGGTAATACTCTTTGTCTTGATGTCTACTTTATCTGATAGTGCTTTAGTCATACAAGCGATCTCAGGCTTATTGGTTGCATGGAACTCCCTGTTCCATTCTTTTATTTTTAGTCTCTCTGTGTTTTTATGTTTAGTGTATTTCTCTTGTAGGCAGCATATAGATAGGCTTGCTTTTCTATCCAGTCTGACAGTGTCTTTTAATTGGAGTGTTCAGTCTATGAAAGGTAACGTAATTATTGATATGTTTGGATTTAGGTCTACAATGTTGTTATTTGTTTGTCCATCTTTTTTTTTGTTGTTGTTCCTCCTCTCTTGCCTTCTTTTGGGTCACCTGAATATTTTTTAGAATTCCATTCTAATTTCTGCGTGTACTAATTTCTAAATAAGAAAAATAATTTCCAGAACATCTCATCAGTTCAGCCAGCAGTTGAGATCATTTTTGTTTGTTCTGGCAGGATCATGAAAGCCCTTGCCAAGGCCGGAGTGCCTGTCCCCAAAGTCCTTGACCTCTGTGAAGACTCAAGGTAACGTTCACATTTATCTTCCCGTTGCATCGTCAAGGTATAGGAGGGAAAATCCCACATACTAACTCAGTTTCCAGTTTGTTAAAGAAAAAATAAATGAAATTTGGGCAAGAGAGAAAAGACATCTTATCACAGCCTCCCCCAGGAGGTTAAATATCTGAAACAGATCTCTTAAGTTATACTGAAAGATAAAGAGATGTCTGTTTTGTGAAAATTGGCAGGAAAGTTTTTTTTTTTTTTATGTTCTAAAAATACACATCCATTTAGTTTTACCAGTTTTTGTTAAATGTTTATTGTGTTTTTGTTGATTTTTTTTATTGTGGTCTTTCTAAAGTTTTTTTTTAGACTGCTTTGTAACATGCTTTTTAAGTGTCTCTTTTTCCCTCAACTTTATAATTAGGAAAATTTCAAAATATACAGAAAAGTTGAAAGAAAAAATAATAGTATAAAGAATACCCATTTGCTCTCATCTAGATTAATACATTGTCAACTTTTTCCCACATTCATTTTCTGTATATGTGTGGGTATGTATATGTATGTGTGTGTGACATATATATTGAAAAAAAAAAAAAAGCCATTGCCGTTGAGTTTATTCCGACTCATAGCAACTCCACGGGACAGAGTAGAACAGCCCCGTAGGGTTTCCAGGGAGCAGCCAGTGGATTCGAACTGCTGACCTTTTGGTTAGCAGTCGAGTTCTTAACCACTGTGCCACCAGGGCTGCTTTATATATATCAGAGCCCTGTGGCACGGTGGTTAAGTGCTTGGCTGCTAACTGAAGGGTCAGAGTATGTATATGTGTAATTATTTTTTTGGCTGAACCATTTGTAAGTTGCAGACATCATGCATCTCCTAAAAATCAAGACGTTTCCTTTTATAACCACAGCATCATTATTATAATTAATGATAATTCTATAATATTTAATTTCTAGCCTATGTCTGAATTTCCTAAATTATATCAAGAATATCTTTTATAACAGTTTTTTTCAAGTTAGAATGAACACCTATAATGGTAGAATTCTCAAAACTTTTTTTGAACAGTAAACCAATTTCTAGTAATAACTAAAAGATTAAAGACATTTCTGTGGGTCACCTTAATACTATAGGATGATATGTGTGCCATTCATACCACCAAATAATGATAAAAATAACATTGATAACAAGAAGGGATATTTAGTGAATCCTTATTAAAAGTAGACACCATGCCAGGCACTCCACATATATTCACTCCCTTAATTCTTACAACTTCCCTTTGAAGTGGGTACACTTTACAGATTAAAAAAACAAACGTCCGAGAGGTTTAGTAAGTTGCTCATGATCATACTGCCAGTAAGGGGCAGAGGTGGGATTTGAACCTGGTTTTGTAAGGCTCCAAAGCCCCTACTCTCCACCATGCTGCTTTCTCGTATTATCACATTTAAACCCATTCTGATGACGTCTGTGAATGGACCAGGGGAAGAGAGAGGCGAAGAAGTATAGATGGGTGTGTGTGTGTATTGACTGGGGAGGGGTGGTGTGCACGCCCTGTTTTTATGTGCAAAGGAAAAAGGAAATGGCCAGCACTCTGGGTCTGACCTCTTCCACCAATGCGGAGAGCAAGCTTGCAGAACAGTTACACAGAGCAGTGCCCTGAAATGCTCCATCTGTGTCCCCCCAGTGTCATCGGCACCCCCTTCTATTTGATGGAGTACTGCCCAGGCCTCATCTACAAAGACCCCTCTCTACCAGGCTTGGACCCCAGCCAGAGGCGGGCCATATATACTGCCATGAACAGAGTCTTGGGCCAAATTCACAGTGTGGACCTCAGGACTGCGGGCCTCGAAGACTACGGGAAACAAGGTGAGGAGAAGCCAGCCCGTCTCCTGTGCTGCTTGTTTCCCCACTAGTAGCACTGCTTTTAGGATTGGTACCCCCAAATGAACAATAGTTTCAGACACTTTGCTCCAACCTAGCAGGCTTGCTAACTTCCTACTCCTTCTTACCTAAGGTCTGACACTGGTAGCACCCCATGACTCTTAAAGTTGCAAATTGCAGAAACCCACTCAATCTAAACTGGCTAAACTTGCAAGAGAAATTTATTGGCACCTGTAATTGGAAAGTCCAAGTGTTGGGCTCATGTTGGACACAGCATCCAGGGGCTCAGACAATGGCAGGAATTAGTTTCTCTCTCTCTCTTAGCTTGGCTTCCTTCTCTTTTGGTTTCATTCTCATTCAAGTTCTTCCCACTTGCTGATGAGGCTGCCACCAGCTCCAGGCTTATATGCTACCAGATTATCAGCCCCGGGCCAAAGAGAGAGTTCCTGGCCCAGCACGGGTCATGGACCTAGTTCTGAACCTATCACAGGCCACTACTAATTTTAACAGTTGCTAACTTTTGCCATATTCACTTCTTATCTGTCTATCTGTCTATCATCTCTCTATATATTTGTACAATTAAGTTGCAGAGACCATGACACTCCACTCCTAAATACTTCAGTGTGCTTTTTTAAAAATAAGGACATTCTCCAATACCATTATCACATCAAAGAAAATGAACCATTTTCCTTGAATCTCCAACACCTGGTGTATATTCAGATTTCTCTGTTATTTCTAAAATATCTTTTTATAAGTCTGTTTTTTCTCCCAAAACCAGAATCCAATCAAAGAATCAAGAATGCTCCCCCTACCTTTTCTTAAGTTTTTTAAGAGACCAAGCCAGTTGTCATAGATGTGTCTATATCATTTCCTTGTGGCTTCATTTACTATCTTCTATCCCCTGTAATTCCTGAATACTGAAAGTTTGAGAATTCAGGTTCAGTTCCTCTGGACTGTGATCTCCACATCTCGTGGCCCAGCTGGATCTTCTGAAGGGCTGGTGTCCAGATGCTTTGGGAGTGCAGTGAACTCCGCAGAGGGAGCTTGGTCGCTTGGTTCTTGTCTCAAACCCTTCAGCATCTGGGGAGCAGTTTTCTCTCAGATGAGGGGTGCAGGTGTGGCTCAGAGCCAGGGACCCAACGTGGAGTTGGATATTGATAATAGTGACAGTAAGCAGCCTCTGGGCCAGCCCTGTACTTGGCATGTTATACATGAACTTCATTTAGTCTTCACACAACCCTACAAAATATGGGCATTAATACCCTCATTGTATGGCTGAAGCAAGCAATGGAGGCTCGGAGAGGCTAAATCAGTTGGCAGAACTTGACTGTGAGCCAGGCTGACTCCAGAACTCTTTCCAGTTTACATTCCCAGATGTAGCTTGAAAATCCCTCAGCTGTGCTCTCTCTCAGGTTTCTTAGTATAAATAACAGAACAACAATATTGTTGTTAGGTGCCGTCGAGTAGCTTCTGACTCATAGTGACCCTGTGTACAACAGAACAAAACACTGTTCCTAAGCCATCCTCACAACTGTTGCTATGTTTGAGCCCGTTGTTGCAGCCACTGTGTCAGTCCATCTCGTTGAGGGTCTTCCTCTTTTTCGCTGACCCTCTACTGTACCAAGCAGGATGTCCTTCTCCAGGGACTGGTCCTTTCTAATAACATGTTCAAAGTACGTGAGACGAAGTCTCACCATCCTTGCTTCTAATGAGCATTCTGGCTGTACTTCTTCCCAGACAAGTTTGTTCATTCTTCTGGCAGATAATGGTATATTCAGTATCCTTTGCCAAACAGTGTAATTCAAATGCATCATTTCTTCTTTAGTCTTCCTTATTCATTGTTCAACTTCCACATGCATCTGAGGCGATTGAAAACACCATGGCTTGGGTCAGGCGCACCTTAGTCCTTAAAGTGATATCTTTGCTTTTTAACACTAAAGAGATCTCTTGCAGCAGATTTGCCCAATGCAATGCGTTGTCTGATTTCTTGACTGCTGCTTCCATGGGTGCTGATTGTGGATCCAAGCAAAGTGAAATCCTTGACAACTTCAATCTTTTCTTCGTTTATCATAATGTTGCTTATTGGTCCAGCTGTGAGGATTTTTGTTTTCTTTTTGAGGTGTAATCCATACTGAAGGCTGTGGTCTTTGATACTCATCAATAAGTGCTTCAAGTCCTCTTTACTTTCAGCAAGCAAAGTTGTGTGATCTGCATATCGCGCGTTGTTAATGAGTCTTCCTCCAATCCTGATGCCTCATTCTTCTTCATGTAGTCCAGCTTCTCGGATTATTTGCTCAGCACACAGATTGAATAAGTATGGTGAAAGTATACAACCCTGATGCACACCTTTCCTGACTTTAAACCACACAGTATCCTCTTGTTCTGTTTGAATGACTGCCTCTTAGTCTAAGTACAGGTTCCTCATGAGCACAATGAAGTGTTCTGGAATTCAATTCCCATTCTTCGAAATGTTATCCATAATTTGTTATGATCCACAAAGTCGAATGCCTTTTCATAATCAATAAAACACAGGTAAACATCTTTTTGGTATTCTCTGCTTTCAGCCAAGATCCATCTGACATCAGCATATCCCTGGTTCCATGTCCTTTTCTGAATCTGGCTTGAATTTCTGGTAGTTCCCTGTTGATGTACTGTCATAACTGCTTTTGAATGATCCTCAGCAAAATTTTACTTGCGTGTGATATTGTTCAGTAATTTCTGCATTCTGTTGGATCACCTTTCTTTGGAATGGGTACACATATGAATCTCTTCCAGTTGGTTGGCCAGGCAGCTGTCTTCCAAATTTCTTGGCGTAGACAAGTGAGTGCTTCCAGCAGTGCATCCGTTTGTTGAAACATTTCAGTTGGTATTCTGTCAATTCCTGGATCCTTGTTTTTCACCAGTGCATTCAGAGCAGCTTGGACCTCTTCCTTCAGTACTGTCTTGGTTATCTAGTGCTGCTATAACAGAAATACCACAAGTGGATGGCTTCAACAAAGAGAAGTTCATTCTCTCACAGTCCAGTAAGCTAGAAGTCCAAATTCAGGGTGTGAACTCCAAGGGAAGGCTTTCTCTCTCTGTCAACTCTGGAGGATGGTCCTTGTCATCAGTCTTCCCTTGGTCTGGGAGCATCTCAGCACAGGAACCTCAGGTCCAAAGGACGTGCTGTGCTCCCGGCACTGCTTTCTTGGTGGTATGAGGTCCCTGTGTCTCTCCGCTCACTTCTCTCTTTTATTTCTCAAGAGAGATTGGCTTAAGGCACTATCTAATCCTGTAGAGCTCATCGGTATAACTGCCACTAATCCATCTCATTACATCATAGTGATAGGATTTACAACACATAGGGAAATCAATCAGATGACAAAATGGTAGACAGTCATACAATACTGGGAATCGTGACCTAGCTAAGTTGACAGATATTTTTGGGGGACACAATTCAATCCATGACAAGTACCATTGGTTCTTGGTCATATGCTACCTCCTGAAATGGTTGAACGTTGACCAAGGTTCTTTTTGGTACAGTGACTCTGTGTATTCCTTCCATCTTCTTTTGATGCTTCCTGCGTCATTTAATATTTTCCCCATAGAATCCTTCAGTATTGCAAATTGAGGCTTGAATTTTTTCTTCGGTTCTTTCAGCTTGAGAAACGCCGAAACTGACAGACACATGGTGGAAGCAAACACTTACGTAGAACTTCCAGGGGCGGATTATCCAGTCGGCAAAGTAAGCATGGTGCTTACTTTGCTTACTAGATCATCTGTAGTGAACAATTTCACATTTTTTCACCACATCAGAGATTTTGCTTCTAGGTATGGCTGGCATCTGTCTGTCTCCCAACCTCGCAGCACCTTCCTACAGAGTCAAAGCCTCTTTTCAAATTTACTGTCCCTGACAGGGGCAGATTAACCAGTAAGCAAGGTAAACACGGGCTTACTTGTGCCTATTTCCTAGTCGGTAGTGACCAATTTCACACTGGTCACTACAGATTAGGAAGCACAGTAAGCCCGTGCTTACCTTGCTTACTGGGTATTCTGACCCTGAGAACTTCCTACGTGCCAGGAACAGTTCCAAAGGTTTTACCATTTCATAGGTGAGGAGGCTGATGCACAGAGAGGTAAAGTAACCCGCCTGCCATCACACAGCCAGAGAATGGCAGAGCTGGGCTTCAAATCCAGCAGTGGACTCCAGAGTCCATGCTCTTAGCCAACCACTGGTGTTTAGCTGAAAAGGAATTATTAACAGCTGTTAGGAAGCTCAAAGGCTCTCTGGGCGGGACACATCAGACTTGGAGGCTGTGCAGCTGGGAACAATGCTGAGACCACAGTGTTCCAGTTAAGACAAAACAGCTGGTGGCCTCACTGTGGGGCAGCAGGACCCTAACACGGAAAGTTCCCCAGTCATAGGAAGTACTCTCATAGAAGATGCTGCACCACCACAGAGCATTACAAATGGCTTTACTGCATTGATGAATTTTCAAAACCCTTAGAGACTTCAGATTTCCCCCACTTATTTCCCAAATAGCTTTTAAAAGTTTTTCTCCCCCCAAACCAGAATCTAATCAAGGAGCCAAGACCACTCCCCATCCCTTTTCTTTTCATGAGTTTTTTAAGAGACCATGCCAGTTGTCATAGATGTGTCTAGATCATTTCCTTGTGTTCTAACCCTCTTTCCTGCAGGGGACTATATTCCGCGCCAGGTGCGCACCTGGATTAAGCAGTACCGCGCCTCGGAGACCAGCACCATTCCGGCAATGGAGAGGCTCATCGAGTGGCTGCCGCTCCATCTTCCCAAGGAGCAGAGGACCACGGTGGTGCACGGGGACTTCAGGTAGACATACCTCAAGGAGGCTGAGTGCTTATGTGTGAAAATGGCTGGAAGGGCATTTGAAGGGGGAATCAGGAAGTTGGTCTTGGTCCAGTTTGTTGTTGTTGTTGTTAGGTGCTATCGAGTCGGTTCTGACTCATAGCGACCCTGTGTACAACAGAATGAAACACTGCGCGGTCCTGCGTCATTCGTTGCTATTTGAGCCCATTGTTGCAGCCACTGTGTCAGTCCATCTCGTTGAGGGTCTTCCTCTTTTTTGCTGACCCTGTACTTTACAAGCATGATGTCCTTCTCCAGGGACTGGTCCCTCCTGATGACATGTCCAAAGTACGTGAGAGAAAGTCTCGCCATCCTCGCTTCTAAGGAGTGCTCTGGCTGTCCTTCTTCCAAGACAGACTTGTTCATTCTTCTGGCAGTCCATGGTGTATTCAGTATTTTTTGCCAACACCATAATTAAAAGGCATCAATTCTTCTTTGGTCTTCCTTACTCATTGTCCAGTTTTTGCATGCATATGAAGCAATTGAAAATATCATGGCTTGGGTTAGATGCACCTTAGTCTTCAACAGGGTCTAATTTACAGTTGGGAATTATTACCATTTATAAAGTATCTTCTTGTACATGGTCATTAGGGCAAGTTTTTCAGCCTCAGCGCTATTGACATTTGGGACCAGAGACTTCTTTGTTGTGGGTCTGTCCTGTGCTTTGTAGAATGCTGAGCAGCATGCTTGGCCTTCACCCACTAGATGCCAATAGCAGCTCCTCTCTCCCGCCCCCCCCCCACACCCCATTGTGCTGCTTTTTGATTTACACTTGCAAAGATATTTTGAGCCATTGATAGATGGGAGAACATGTCTTAACCCACAGAATGATCAGTGGTGGTTGAGTGTCTTGCTTTATCATCTCTGGTTGTGTAAACTGCTCATTAGGTACTCCAGTCCTGCAGGGGAGTATATTTTGTGCCAGGCACAGACCTGGATTAAGCAGTACAGAGCTACAACTACTTTGAAAAGTAGTAACTAGTGAAGTTGAAGGTGGGCCTACCCTACAACTCACAGTTTGTAGAGAAACACTTGTGGCTGTGCACCAGGAGACTCACAAAAGATGTTCATTTTTGCCATGCTTGTATTTGTATAGCATAGGTTGGAATTCTATATAATCTGGAAAAAAAAAAAAAACCTGGATGCCATTGAGTCGATTCCAACTCACAGCGATGCTATAGAACAGTGTAGAACTGCCTCATATGGTTTCCAGTGAGCAGTTGGTGGATTTGAACTGCCTACCTTTTGGTTAACAGCCAAGCTCTTAACCACTGTACCACAAGGGCTCTGGAATTCTGTTCAGGAGGTAAAATAAACCAATTAACTCAACATAAGTCATTATAGATAAATCTCAAATAGATCATGCTGAGTCAAAAAAAGCAGGTTCCAAAAGGATACATATAGTGTGATACCATTTATGAAAATTTAAAATAATTTAAAGAACACTTTCAGGGTTTACAGATTCATGCATAGGTAGGAAAGAATATTCAAATGTCTGGGGTTGATACATTCCCACTTCAGGATAGCGGTTATTTTGGGGGAAGAAGGGAGAGGACAGAAATGGAGACCATTAGCTAAATCTGTAATGTTTCACTTTTAAAAAATCTGAAGCAAATTTGACCAAGTGTTAACATCTGTTAAATCTGGAAGATGGGTCTTATTCTGTGAAATTTTCTGCATATTTGATCTTTTTGTTTGTTTGTTTTAATATGGTACGCATCAGAGTCCTGGCAGGAAATGGGGGGACCACTTAAAGAGGCTGGTAGAGGGAGTTTAGTAAAGGAGTGGAGCATGGTTGTGAGGAACCACCAAAGAACAGTGTGGAACTCGGGGCCAGCAACAGCTGGGAATTAGTACCACCCTAGGTGGTGCAGTGGTTAAGTGCTCAGCTGCCAACCAAAAGGTTGGAGGTTCAAATCTACCAGCTGCTCTGTGGGAGGAAGATGAGGCAGGCTGCGCGTCCGTAAAGATTACAGCCATGGAAACCCTGTGGGGGCGGTTCTACTCTGTCCAGTAGGGTCACTATGAATGGCAGTGGGTTTGGCGTTTTCCCCCTAGGTCTGAAGGTGTAAGCGTGCATCCCAGCTGTTACTACTGCTTAGCAAACTGGTCTAAAACTTAGTGGCTTGAAACAATGACAGCAGTTATTCTGCTCATGAGCCTGCACTCTGGGGCAGGACAGCTTGTTGCAGTGGGGGCGGCTCAAAGGCAGGGCTGGGCTGGAATCACCTGGAAGCTCACTCACGTGACATGCCTGGCACTGAGCGGAGAAGACACAATCAGCTGGGCTCCTCAGCGTCCCTCTCCCTTCCTGGTTTCTCCATGTGGTCTCGCCAGCCTGGTGGCTTCTGGGATGCTAGTCTTCTCACCTGGTGGCTCACGGCTCCAAAGGTGCACTTTCTAAGAGAGAGAGAGCCAAGCAGAGCTTGTATCACCTTTTACGACCTAGCCCCGGGAGTCACAAAGCCTCACCTCCTCCAGTATGTTCATTAGATGCAAGTAGCTTCAAGGTTAAAGAATTAGACTTTTGTGGGAGGCATGTCAGAGAATTTACAGACCTGTTTTAAAGCCATCACCAAACCCCTTGCCTCTGGGTCGATTGGACTCATAGCGAGGCCATCACAGGGAGGGAGAAATTACCAGATCCCGAGAGGTAGCTAAGTGGAGAGGGCCGCCTGAGGGAAGCTGGGCCCTCGGGAGGAATCCAGCCACCCTCAGCTATCTGCAGAGAGGAAGCTGTGGAATAAGTAACCAGAGTTCTTCTCATCTCTGGCCGGTGCCTCCCAGGGGCTGAGCCCATCTGGATGTGGAGGGAGGTACAGAGGAGGTAGAGAAGGTACACCTGGACGGACAAACGGAAGAGACCCTGCTCAGAGAACCTGCTAGTGATGGTCATTCTTAGAGCTGTTTCTCTACTTCCTCTATGGCTTATTCAGGCTTGACAACCTGATCTTCCATCCAGAGAAGACTGAGGTGCTTGCTGTCCTGGACTGGGAGCTGTCTACCTTAGGCGATCCCCTGGCGGATGTAGCCTACAGCTGCCTGGCTTACTACCTGCCATCAGATTTCCCAGTGCTTCGAGGTAGGGACTGCTGCTGGGGGTGGGGCAGGGAGAACACCAAACTCGGCTGACATTGTTTGGGATTGAGTTTGGGCATGAAATTGAACTCCTGGTGATTTTGGTAGTAAATGCAATTGGAATGCATTCCTGTAACAATTGGGGGGAAGTGGGGTTAGCATGTATTTTAAATAAAAAGTGTTTATAGATACCTCTTACGCTCATCAACTAACTTATATTTTTTAAATACAAGTTTATTGTGAAAACATTAGCGCCAACAGATAGCAAAGAGAAAAAAGATAAAATCATCAGTAGTCCCAGAGGTAACCTCTGCTAACACTTCAGTGTCTATCCTTGTCATCCTTTCTCCTATGTGTACATACACATTTTTGAAACAAAAATGGGATTACACTATTTTTATGACCTGCTTTTTTTCACTTAATTGTATATTTTTAACGTGTTCATGCCGGTATCTCTTCTACAGCATCATTTTTTAAATAATGGCACAGGATTTTACTGTTTAGAATGTCCTGATTAACTTAGTAAAGACATTTGGTTTGGTTGATCAAACCAAATCAAGATGGTTTGGTTGATATTTGGATATTTAATTTGTTTACTTTTTTTTCTATTACCTTCCTCTTCTCCACCCCCCCAAAAAACAGGCAGTGAACATCTTTGTAGCAGTATCTTTGCCAGTATATAAAGTAAACTCCTAGGATGAATTCCTAGAAACAGCATACATTGCATGCTTCTAAACCATGAAAATGTACAAATGAAGCACATCAGTGAAAGTTTTTATTTGTTTTAATTATCTTCCTCATAATCTGGGCGGATCTCTCTTTCAATACCAGTTTTTATCAAATGCCTGGTGGAAGATAATACGCATCTACCCTGAGCTGTGGTCAGGTAGAATTGGAGGTCCCCAACCCCTCCTTTACTGCAGATTTAGTCTTAAACCTTAAGAGCCAATTTGTGAGTAATAGCTTCATGGCTGGATTCTCTGCCACCTGAGGGAGGAAGAGCCACTGAAATAATGAGCTAATCCCTTGAGCTAGCTATGAAACTAATTTCCAAAGACAGTGATTTTCAGAATTTAAATGCTCACCAGCCACAGGGGAGTGGAGAGTGACTGCCTGGGAATGGCTCTGTTCCTCAGGTTTGAGTGACTGTGACTTGACTCAGCTGGGAATCCCTACAGCAGAAGAGTACTTCAGGATGTATTGTCTTCACATGGGGATCCCTCCCATTGAGAACTGGAGCTTCTACGTGGCTTTCTCCTTTTTCCGCATAGCCGCCATCCTGCAGGGAATCTACAAGCGCTCACTCACAGGTACGGGATGGCGCCTCATAAGTGCTCACTCACAGGTACAGGATGGCACCTCTCAAGCGCTCACTCACAGGTACGGGATGGCACCTCACAAGCGCTCACTCAGATGTGGGATGGCACCTCACAAAGCTGCTTGGGGGATGAGTCACAGCCAGCAAGATTCTTCTACCTGGAAGCCCCTCAAGTGGACTGCAGAGGCTTTAAGGCACCAATTTGGCCAGAATGTCTACAAAAGTCAGTTAATTCAACCATTTGTTGAGAATAGTATATATGTTTTATCTTTTTATAATATTTTTGTTTTTTTTGTTGAGAATATACACTGCAGAACATATGCCAATTCAACAATCTCTCCATGTGCACTTCAGTGACATTGATTATATTCTTCAAATTGTGCAACCATCTCACCCTCCTTTTCTGAATTGTTCCCGCATTAATATAAACTCACTGCCCCCTACGTTTGCTATCTAATCTTCAAGTTGCCGTTTAACCTTGTTTTTTATTAAAATAATGCAAAAAATTTTGAAAATGAAGACATATATGCACAGAGTAAAAATTCAATCATATGGAAGTATATCAAATTATTTTCCTTCCTTCTCAGCCCCATTTCTCAAAAGGAAACAGTGTGCCCTGGGGAGAGCAGAATGTTGCCTGTTAATGATGTGAATTACTCCTCAATAAAGACTTTTAAAAAGGAAGGTGGTTTTTAAAATTCAGAACTTTTTTGCAGTGAGTTTATCTATTTAATCATAAGCTTCTATTTCATATTAAAAGCTGAGGTATTATAGTAATTAAAGAAAATTCACTGATATAAAAGTCAAATTTTATCTTGGTAGCATGTACTATATACAACTAATAAAACATCTATTTTAAAATGTAGCTTTAGGCTTCTATAACACAGCCATCCCAGAAATAATCTTGATTCTATCATTTCCTACTCTAACAAATACTATTTCACTTGTAATTGCAAAATTAAAAACTTTTTTCTAGTATAATAATTTATCCCTTAAAAAAAAGATCCATCCAGAATCCCTGCACCTGTAAGCCCCACTGTGCTCATCCTAAATTTGCCTATCAGAAAGCCCTTTGACATTGGCTGGACTTTGTGTTCCTCTTGGCTGAGAGGTACCACCCCCACGTGTTCGCCTCCACACAGAAAACGAGATGAGCTGTCTTTCCAGGCCTTTATTCCTCTGTTCCTAACCGTGCTGTCCGTTCTCTCCCACCTGAGAAGCTAACCAGACACACTGAGGAAGCGGCTTAGTTTTTGCACACAAAAACAGCAAAATCCATTTTTTAAAAGAATAGTGTAGAAATATCCAAGAAGAAAAAAGAAAACCACCAGCTATATGAAGAGAAATGTTATTTCTATCCGTTTGTTTTATACAGTTAGCTGTCATAATCACTGTTCTGTTTGAACAGTTGGGATACTTGGCACTGCCGTGGAAAAATGGGGTTTAGAGAAGGAGTATTTCTCTCTAGGGGGTGGAGCGTGTAGACCAGAGGCCCAGCGACTGATTTACAGTCTGTACCAAACCACCCCGTTTATCACTTTCCTTTTTTAATAACTGGGTGCGGGTTTGGATTTCTTGTCCCGTTGCCGTCGAGTTGATTCCAACTCATAGCGACCCTATAAAACAGAGTAGAACTGCCCCATAGGGTTTCCAAGGAGCAGCTGGTAGATTTGAATTGCTGACCTTTTGGTCAGCAGCTGAGCTCTTAACTGCTGTGCCACCAGGGCTCCACTTGGATGTCTTGTAGCTGGCTATTAAAATTCTAAAAAGGAAGAAGTGCTGGTAGCTGACAATTGGGTGGACTTCAGTGACATGCCCTCTTCTGCTTGGGACTACATTTGGGAAAATATACAGGAAGCGATAGTTTTAAATCAACCCAAGCTCATACAAGGGAGTTTCCAAGAGACAAAGAAAGCAGCACTCAAAGAGCCATCAAGTCGATTCCGACTCAGAGAGATCCAATTAGGTAGAAGAAAATTAAGAATACGCTTCATACTCTGTTAGAAAAAGAAGCTCACTGTGAGTAAGAATGAACTTAAGGGGGGTATGTTTCCCTTTAAAGGAGCCCTGGTGGTGCAGTGGTTAAGCGCCCAGCTGCTAACCTAAAGGTTAGAGGTTTGAGTCTACTCATGTGTCTCAGAAGAAAGACCTGGCAATCTACTACCAAAAATCAGCCACTGAACGCCCTATGCAGCACAGTTCTACTCTGACACACGTGGGGTCGCCATGAGTGGGGTCAACTTGGCGGCAACTTTTTCTTTTAATTTGCCTTTGATGTCACACGTACAGTCTGAGCAACAAGGGGAAAACGTCACCCAGTCCTGCTCATGGGCCCTCACTGTGCCTATGCGACCCAGGGAAGGTGCTGTCTGGTTCCTGGCTGATCCCCCAGGGCCTCAGCCCATACCCAGCACCCATAAATACCTGTGGAGGTCTGGTGGGCTGCATGTTCTGCTAGGTAGCAAAAGAATTTGGTTCCTAACTTGTAGAGAATAGTGTAAAAATCTTTAAAATGGCTCTCTTTTGAGAGCTACCAATTGACTGTGGCAGGAGCTGGAAGAAGAATGGGCCTCTGTGAAGATCCGTTTATTGAATCGAAAGGCATAAGGAAAATAGTCTCTTTAGGACATGGAAATGCTAAACGTAATTCAAGAGAGCTGGCTGCAGAAAAGCCCCTTGGAAAGAGACAATATACACACAACAGTATGTAAGGAGCCCTGATGGGGCAAGGGTTAAACACTTAGCTGCTGACTGAAAGACTGGCAGTTCAAACCTACCCAACAGCACTGCGGGAGAAAGACCTGGTGATGTGCTCCTGTTAAGATGACAGCCTAGAAAACGATGGGTCAGTTCTACTCTGTCTAATGGGGTCACTATGAATCAGAATCAGCTCGAAGGCGTCCAACAATAACAACATAATACATGTAAGCACATAGCACATTGTCTGGTCCATAGCGAGGACTCAGCAAATGCTAGAGCTGCTGATATAATAACCGATATTATCACAGCACTGATACCTGTTTTTCTTTTCTTCTGCTTAGGGCAAGCAAGCTCAGCAACTGCTGAACAAACTGGGAAGCTGACGGAATTTATGTCTAACCTGGCGTGGGATTTTGCTGTCAAAGAAGGATTCCGGGTTTTCAAAAAGATGCCAGCCACAAAGCCATTGCTGAGGTCCTTTCACACCCGGGCCAGCCCACAGACCCTGCTGAGCATCACAGGCATGAGGAGCTATAGCTCCTTTCCAGAACCTTCCCCAACTTGTGCCTCAAAGGGAGCTCTGGTCATCTCTCCCGAGGGCCTCTCCCAGCCAGTCAGAGAGCTGTACCACCGGCTGAAGCAGTTCATAGAGCAGCATGTGTACCCTGTGGAGCAAGAGCTGCGGAGCCACCAGGCCTCGGCAGACCGATGGACCCCCTCCCCACTGATAGAGGACCTCAAGGTAAAGCAGCAGGCTGAGCAGTGCGTGTTTGGGTACACGGGTGAAATCTTGGTTTGTGAGTTTCATCCGAAGTGTGATGACCACGCATAACTGAGAAGAGTGTGAAGCCATTTACAGTGTGCCTCCAGGTCCTGCCAGGTATAAGCCATATTATCCTCCACCTAAGGGTGAAGAAACAAGATTTGTCCAAGGGACATAGCTAATAAATAACAGGGCTTAGATTCAAATCCAGGTCTTCTGGGCTCAAAACCTGTGATTTCTTGAAGAAACCCTGAGAGTAGGGCCCCTGGACACCCTTATAGCTCAGTAATGAAGTCACTCCTGAGGTTCACCCTTCCACCAATGGGGACAGCAGGCCCATAAAATGAAACAAGACTAAAGGGGCACACCAGCCCAGGGACAAGGACTAGAAGGCAGGAGGGGACAGGAAAGCTGGTAATGGGGAACCCAAGGTCAAGAAGGGAAAGTGTTCACATGTTGTGGGGTTGGGAACCAATGTCACAAAACAATATGTGTATTAATCGTTTAATGAGAAACTAGTTTGCTCTGTAAACCTTCATCTAAAGTACAGTAAAAAAAAAATAAAAACCTGTGATTTTTCCCCCTTCAGGAAATACCGACAAAGAGATGATTATATTCATTTCCTTATTCTGCCTCTTCTCAGAACTCCCTGGCCTCCTACACATCCCTTCCCGTTCTTCATAATCTCTAGTGCCAACCGCAGCCCGGCAACCTGTATCAGGCACTTTACACTCTATGTGTGAGCTCATTTAATCACTACAACAACCCAGTGAGGTGGGTGTGGTGGATGTCTGTTGGATTTGGGCTGCCTGGTGTCCATTCCGCCTTCCCTTGGTAGTAGCACCCCAGTTTCTTTTGGACATCTCCTTTGTCCCTTTGGAGACAGTCTGGCAAAAGCTCCCTGGCCGAGAAGTGGGCACAGGAGCCTAGCTGGGCCAGCCAGGCTCTCCTTTCTGAGATTGCAGCAGTGAGCAGGGTGACAGCAAGACTGCAGACAGTCGGCACTCACTCATTCCACAGCAGCAGGCCTGGTGGAGTGGCCAGGGAGCCTCTCCCAGCATGGTCCTCCAGCTTCCCTGGCTCCTGTCCATGCTGAGCCTTGTTCTCTAGTCTTCCTGTCCAGTTGGAGGGTTCCTGGCAGCCCTCCCACTGGGTTCCTTTTTCCTCTAGTTAGCCACGCTCAGTTTCCACTGCTGCATCTCTCTCGGCCTGATTGATAGGGGGATAGTCACATCCCCATTTCACACGTGGAAACAGAATCTCAGAGCTCAGGCATCTTGCCCAGGTCTCCCAGTCAGCATGGGGCAGTGAGGGGTCTGACCCCAGGCGGGCTGACAGCCTGAGCTCCTGACCCCAAGGCTGGACTTGCTGGTCACCCAGACAGGTGCTACAGTGAGGCAAACGAGGCTGTACTTGTCCCAGGAACTAGTTTCACCTCATAAAGGAGGTGTGCTCAGGGGTCTCCTATCCACCTTGAAAAGGTGCTGAGGCTGCAGCTGAGGGGACCAGGCCCTGTTCCTCACAGCAGCTACCTGTAAAACCAGCTGCTGTCAAGTCAGTTCTGACTCATGGCAGCCCTGTATGTCTCAGGGTAGAACTGTGCTCCATGGAGTTTTCAGTGGCTGGTTTTTTGGAAGCAGATCACCAGGCCGTTCTTCTGAGACACCTCTGGGTGGACTCAAACCCCCAACCTTTCAGTTTACAGCTGAGCGTGTGAACTATTTGTACAACCCGGGAACTCTGGGAGCACGTTGTAATAATACTCAAAATTAATGTTAGTAATGATGACATAAGGAGTAAGTGGGGGTGTCTGGGACATGGAGACTTGGGGGAGGGACCCAGTCGCACACTGCTGTAGGACTTGATCTTGCGCTGGGGCCGCCTCACGCTTATGCCACCTGCAGATCTGCAGAGTCTCTGTCCAGCCTGCGGTGTGGAGTCAGGTCACTGTTCTAGGCGTGCACTTCTTCCTTGGCTGTTTGCCTTCTTCTCTCCAGTCCCCCCGCCGACCCCCCATTGTTTTCCATGGGTCGAAGTGATATCATTCACTGTGGTTCTCTGATTTATTTTTCCCATAATAGGAAAAAGCCAAGGCCGAAGGACTCTGGAACCTTTTCCTACCCTTGGAGACTGATCCCGAGAAAAAGTATGGGGCAGGCCTGACCAACGTCGAGTATGCACACTTGTGTGAACTCATGGGCTCTTCTCTGTACGCTCCGGAGGTACCTGCTTTAAAGTCGTCGTGGGCACGCGAGAATATCTGAGTCCTGACGAGAACGTCTTTACCACGCTCTGCCGATCACTCTCCCGCATGAATAGAGTTCCCTCTGGCTTACGCTGGGTTCAGGAGCCCTGATAGTAACGTGAACTTCCCATAATGAGGAGAGGACAACTCCAGGCAGGCAGCTGGAGCAAGAAAGCCACTAGGGGGTTTGCGCAGGCCTACTGGTCTCCTGTTAGTCTCCAGTCCCCACCCCAGACCCCCACCTCTAGTTCTTTCTCCTTCTCTTACATAAGGAGGGGCTCCGAGGCTGGGCTTCATGGGGTCTGAGATATTATATTGAAAATGTCACAAAGAAGGTATCAACCAAAACCAAACCCGTTGCTGTCAAATCAATTCTGACTCATAGTGACCTTATAGGAAGAGTAGAACTGCCCAATAGGGTTTCCAAGGCTGTATATCTTTATGGAAGCAGGCTGTCACATCTTTCTCCCACTGAGCAGCTAGTGGGTTAGAACTGCCGATATTTCTGTTAGCAGCCGAGTGCTTACTCTAGTGTGCTTGCTACGAGAGCTCCTCAAAGAATGTATAACAAACACACAAAAATAACACAATGGCAGAATAAGTTCTTCTTATTGGTAACTACCGTGATGTAAATAGATAAAATGCTCCAATCAAAAGGCACAGCGTGGCAGAATGGATTAAAAAAAAAAGATTCACCTGTATGCTATCTACAAGAGACATATCTTAAGCACAGAGACACTGGTAGGTGGAAAGTGAAAGGATGGAAAAAAATATTCCGTGCAAATAGTAACCAGAGAGATCTGGGGTGGTGATTTCAATATCAGATAAAATAGACTTCAAGTCAAAATCTGTTATAAGAGACAAAGAAGAACATTATATAATGATAAAAGTGTCAATCCATCAAGAAGATAATAACAGTTATAAATACATATGCACCTAACTTCAGAGCCCCAAAATACATAAAGCAAAATGTGGAGTATCTGCATTTCTCTGGAAGAGGAAGAACTCTTATTAGATGGTCAGAGGGGTCGGTGACCCGGAAGAGGTCCCGGCCCACTGCTTCCAGGGCACTTGAAGTCTTCAGTGTGGATGTGGGAGTCACCGTTATGCTGTTTCTCCTTTGCAGATCTTTAACTGCTCTGCTCCAGACACAGGGAACATGGAGCTTCTCGTGCGATATGGCACTAAGGAGCAGAAGGCCCGCTGGCTGGTGCCTCTGCTGGAGGGCAGGGCCCGCTCCTGCTTTGCCATGACGGAGCCCCAGGTACTGCTCAGGGGCCACCAGCCCACAGAGGCCCCTTCTGAGCAGGCCAGACCCTCGCTGCCGGGCCCAGCTGATCCTGCCCCACAGGGAGTGCTCTAACTGGAGTGTGTCCTCCCCCAGGTTGCCTCGTCAGATGCCACCAACATCGAGTCTTCCATCAGAGAGGAGAATGGCTGCTACGTCATAAACGGTCGCAAGTGGTGGATCTCAGGTATTTGGCCTGAAATTCACTTTTCAGTTTCACTTCAGTGGGTCTGTATTGACAAGCATGCCTCTCTGTCCCTTCCTTTTGTCCAATGGCAGGGACCATTTTTCAGCAGAGGCAAAGAAGATCCGTCTCTGTGCCCAGCAGAGGCAGCAAGCCATGTGAGAGCAGCAACACCATACGGAGTGCGTGGTTCTCAAGGGCTGCTGCAGGGGGGTGGAGATGCCATCAGATGGCAACAGATGTGACAGACACCCTCTGCTCTCGTGACTCTAGGAATCTCTTGTTCGTTCCCTCCTGCACCTCCCTTTGGAAGTTCACTTCCTTTGTGGCTTCCCCTTGCTCCTAGATCAGGTCTATTATATCATGAGGGCTCTGGTGCTAGGTTTCAGTAGAGCTTCTAGACTATGATGGAGTAGGAAGCAAGGCTTGTCAGTCTACTTCCAAAAATCAGCCAGCGAAAGCCTATAGCTTCCCAACCGATCATGGGGATGGCGCAGACCAAGCAGCACTTCGGTCTGTTGCGCGTGGGTCGCCGTGAATCCGCAGCCTGACTCCACGGCAGCTAACAACCACCACAACAAGGCACAACCCTGCTGTGTACCCGGCGCTGCCTCGGCAGGGCCCTGCCTGAGTACTGCACGCACCTTATCTAGCTGAGCCCCCATATCTCCCCAGATTTTACAGACGAGCAAACTAGGTCTCAGAGAGTAACCAGCCTGAGGTAGTAATCCCCAGCTACTAAGTAGGGAACCCAGAATCCCAGGTTTGCCTGATTGTGAAGCCCGTGCTCAGACCCCTTACATTGTTCATACTGCCCGTGGAACCAGAGCCGAACCTCCGGCAAGGACAAAGGAGCAGCTTTCAGCCTCTTGTCTGTATGTTTTCACCTCTACGTGGTACTTTAAAAAAAAAAAAATTGCTCTTATGATTTTGGATTCATTCTTCACAGGCAAAAGCCAGTTGCTTGCATTTCTGGTCAAGAGCCTGCAAACCCTCTGAGCACGTTGAGGCTCCCAAGCTCTGCCTGCTTGCTGGCTCTGCTGTCCCTGTGCCAGGCCTGCGGGGGTAGGAGGGCTGATGGCCCTGGCGTCAGATGATAGGGCCTGTCCCTCTACTTTCTTGGCAGGCATCCTGGATCCTCGCTGCCAACTCTGCGTGTTTATGGGGAAAACAGACCCGCAGGCCCCGCGCCACCAGCAGCAGTCAGTGCTCCTGGTCCCCATGGATACCCCGGGGATCAAAGTCATCCGGTCCCTGACGGTATTCGGGCTGGAGGATGCGCCAGGTTGGTTCGCATGCTGCAGCAGCACCTCTGGGTGGTGGAGTTGGTCCTCAGGAGAGTGGCTTTGGGCAGCCCTTGCTCAGTTCCGGGTGTGACAACATCTGGAGGGCCACTCGCCCCTGCACTCATTCCATACACACACAGAAACCATGTACACAGACTGCAGACAGGCACTCAGGCATTTGTTCTCTTTTAACTGGCTTAGAAGTTAAGCTGAAATCTGTGCGAGACCAGGAGGCCTCCCAGGGCAGAGGAAGGAAGCAGGGTGTGCACCCCAAACCTGCTGTGGTCACTCTTCCCCCCGAGCTCCAGGGGGCAGAGCTGAAGCCCAGGCACACCCTGGCGTGGTCCTCGCACAGGGCGCTTTTCCTCAGCTAAATGCATTCACGTTTTCCTTTCAGCATTCCCGCAGGGTCACAAACTATGGGAGAGTTTCAACATAAGGTACAGTCATCATGCTTTATAAGAGGAATGGCTAAATACTCGTTTGACATTATAAAGCCCAATCAGCTGCTGTCGACCTTTTCAGCCATGTCACAGTTTGAGGGTTAAAATAAAGGCATGAATATTGCCAGTCGATGAGGTGACCTGAGGCAGAAAACAAATACGGCAGGTTGCTCATGGTGATGTGTTTGGGTCTTTCAGGTGGCCACGGTGAAGTCCTGTTTGAGGACGTGCGCGTACCCAAGGAGCACATAGTCCTGGGCCCCGGCCGTGGCTTTGAGATCGCCCAGGGCAGACTGGGTCCTGGCAGGATCCACCACTGCATGAGGCTGATTGGGTTGTCGGAGAGGGCCCTGGCGCTCATGAAGGCCCGCGTAAGTCATGGTTAATATATAGCCTCCCCGTGCTCCCACTACTGAACCAGAATCACCCATCTGCTCTGCCGTGGGACTGCAAGTCCAAACCATTTTCTGAAAACAGAGTTAGCAGGTGAAGCAAGGTGCAGTTCTTGCCAAGAAGTTGTGTCCCTGCCTTTGCTTTGCATTTGCTGCTTTGCTGAAGTTTGAAATTCCGAGCAGAATGGGCCCCGCTCCGTCTCTGTGACCAAAAGGAGCAGGCTGGGCTCTGTGGCGGCAGAGGGCAGGGTTCTAAGGTCCAAAGGCTCACAGGCTGCCAGGAGCCGTGCGTGCTGCCAGCATACCTTTAAAAGTCACGTACAGGAGAACAGCATGGATTGCTTTGGTCCCTGGGTTCCAGCCCCAGCCCCGTAGCGCCGCCCCCTCCCCAGCCAGCCTTGAGCTCTGGCCACTGAGCTAATCCTGATGTGATTCCCTCCCAGGCTAGAATCCTAAAGAAAGGAGAGCTGCTGATCAAATGCACAGATCTTTTGCCAAAAACAGGAATTCAAATCAATGGTATTGATTTCACAAAGATGCAGCAAACCTTTGGGACCAAACAAATGTCTCCCAAGAAGCAGTGCAAAGAACAAACTCCATGCAAAGAATCAAATGTGATTGTGCGTTACACCTTTTTTGAGTTGAGACTGACTAGTTCTTTCTCCTTAGAATAAAATGCCCTTCTTCGACAGGTCAGGTAGGGCAGGTACCTGCATTAAAACTCAACTGGGGCGGTTTGACGGTATGTGTCAGAAATCTCCAGAAAGTTTGTAGCATTAACACAGCAATTCCATTTCTAGGCTTGACTGCAAGGGAATAATTAAGAGTCTACAAAAGGTTTACTCCGAGGGGGTTCACCGATAACACTGATTATAATAGCAAAATGTTGGGAACAAGCTACATGGATAATGATTGGCGATTGGTTCAATTAACCATGGTTAATGGGCATGCAGTGAAACTCCAGAATGATACTGTAGAAACCTACTTCTTAACACAGAGGTGTTCATTATATACTCTTTTTTGTCTTTGAACAATTTTTTTATTTTTATTGTACTTCAGGTGAAGACTTACAGAACAAATAGTTTCTCATGAAACAGAAGTACACATGTTGTTTTATGACATTGGTTAACAACCCCACAACGTATCAACCCTCTAACTTCTCAACCTCATTTTTTTTTTTTTTGGTGAAAATACACATAGCCAAAGATACACCATTTCAAAAATTTCTACATGCACAGTCC